TAACCGTCCTTCTGGACAGGGACCGGCACGCATGAGGAAGGCTTCGAGAAGAAAACATGGTTCGATTCTGGTGCAAAGGTCTAGCCCCTGGTCGGCGACTGTGCCGGCTGAACAAAATCTCCGACTAGCTTTGAGTGCTGACATCCGTCACGAACGACAGCCACTGTCCAACAAAATGTGTGGAATGCAAGCAATCATGCGCCGGGCTGGGCCGTCGAGATGACGACCCTGATCTGTCTCTGAGTGCAGGCGTGAGGTATTGGACAGCAGCCCGACAATAGCCCAGTGGTCATTTTGGCATACTGACGGCTGTCTCTACATGACCGTACTGGATACAAGGTCGAAGTGACCTTTCCGTCAGTCATTGGTACGAAGAGTGTCGTGTTATCCTGTAACGAACACCACTTGTTGCCGATGTAAAAAGCTCTATACATGGCGAAATGGGCCGTTCAAATGATGAGACAGCTATGCTCATGCGCTCACCTCTGCTGATGGTCATTCAGCGGCCAATTCCCACGCAGTTCTATTCTCTCTTGACAATTGTGTCCAAGGCGCGCCTAAGCTCTTTGTAGGATGTGGTATTGGCCCTCACCGGGTGAAGCCTTCAGTTGGATTTCCAAGGAGTCGCAACCTTTGGCCAGGGTGTCTTCCTCACGTCTTGCCCATGATGCGCTTCGCCTTCTCCAGCAGCACGGTGCTCTCCCGGCCGAGCTTCCTCTGCCCATTCGGACCTCCGCTTCTGGCCTTGGCCATGACCTTTCGGAACCGTTCCCTCTCAGCCAGCTTCTTCGCCCGCTCCTTTTCGGCCTCCTCGCGCGCCTTCCGCCGAGCCTCTGCCTCTTCCGCGTTCCTGTGCGCGAGCTCTGCCTCTTTCCTGAATGGCTGTGGGCGCGGCCGCTTCTTCCGTCGTTCGGCGTGCTGGGTGTGCTCCAGTGCGGGCCCAGGGGAGCGCTCCTCTAACAGCTTCACCCGGTCTGGATGCGGGTCGAGCGTGGGTTCGGGCGCGGGCTCGGCGGGTGCTTCTGGGTGGGCGTCCTTGTCCTCATACTCGTAGACGGACTTGTTCATAGCTCCTTCCTCTCGCGCCTTCAGCTTGGAATACTGCTTCTTCAGCTTCGCCTTGTGGATGAGGTCTTTTTTGATCTTTTGCACTGCATCCAGCTTAGTAACGCTGGGAGATGCTGTGCGATATGGTGCTCACCCTTGCGCTTGTAGGTGCCGTCGGGCAGATTCGCGGGTCCGACGGAGAAGCCCTTGCTCTGCTTCTTGTGCAGCCTGGCTGCATCGTCGGCGCGAGGTCGTTTCGGGGCCATGGTGCGGGGTCTGCGGGCGTGTGCCGGAGTCGAGATGCTGTGCGGCGTGGACTGGCACAGATTGAAAGTTTGGCGGCGACGGAGGAGCTGGGCTTGGCAAGGCGGGATGGGCTCTATTTACTAATCTTATCTATTATCAAACTATTATCTTAAACAAGATGGGAGAACAATCCAAAATTATAGAATACTCTTTAATTATTTTGGACCGCCCAGTACCGTTGCGTCCTCGGAGCGGGCAGCGAATGCAACGACGCACAAGCGCGATGGCGAAAGCCCACAGCAGAGGCAAGCGTCATGTTCACTTTCATTTTCATTTTCATTTGCATTTGCATTTGCATTTTCTCGTGGCGTGTGACGAGCCCAGCGCCGGGCCGGAATGGCGGCTGGAGCGCGACTTTGTCAGCGAGCGATTAGCAGAGCTCCGAGCTTCGCCTTTCGCCTTTTGCCTTGTCGAATCGTCATCGTTCGTTGCGCGCCCTCCTAGTCGCCGCTTCTACGTCGCCGTGTTTCGTCTCAAAACTGGGCAGCGAGCTCGCCCTCGCCCTCGCCCGTTGACGATGCTAAGCTGGCACTCACACAGGCACTGGCAGTGGCGCCAGCGCACCACTGATTGACGCAGAGTCTGCTGTACCGCTCGCTCCCGCCAGCACCTGATCCAAGTGTCCCCCGCCATTGTACCGGCCAACGTGCTCAGCACTCACCACCTCAGCACACCTTATAGCTCAGCACCGCTCCCACACTCCTGCTAATCCCCGCACATATGCCCCTTCCCACAGTAATTCGTCGTCTCCATGCCCATCTTCCATGATCCCCACGACAGCCCGCCGCTGCCGCCGGCCTCCCGCCATTCGGCGTCCAGCGACGGCCAAAGAGCTTGGAGCACCGAGGGCTGGTCTGAAAGAACGCTGCTGGACAGTGCACCTGCTAGGGCTGCTTTAGACTCGAGTCCCAGCCTCCAAGTGAACGCTGCGACGCTTGGAAATGGCCGGAAACCGATCATGCTGGACCGTGTCGAACTCATCGGGCGGATAAAGAGAGCGAACAGCCCGTCGTGGCAGCATATGGGCGTACGTTGATGCGATACACGTCTTTGGTTTGGCCTGCATTGACTGGAGCCCACAGAATCGCTGTCCTCACAACGCCAGCCCAGAGACCCAACCCACCTCTCAAAACAGACCGAAGACGCCTCGCCTTGCCACGGCGCACACCAGATCCTCGCGACCATCCACGCCCGATCCGCTCCGAGACAATGCCTCGGCGGGCTTGGAGATAGAGCGACCGCGGTCCGCTCTACATTCAGGAGACTTTAGGGGAAAGGAGGAAGATGCCTCGCAATCCTCGTCCGGCGTACCTCTGGCGACCTCGCCGGTGGTCCCGTGGAATCAGTCGTTCCCAGCTGCTGCACGTCCTCCAAGCCGCACAGAGTCGCCCTATTTCCAGGAAGCTCTGAGCTACGAGTCGCGGCCTACGGTGCGGACAAGGGCTATATCCCAGTCATCATTTTCGTCATTTGTCTTCATCCCCCCAACAAGCCCGCTTGTGCAGCAGTCGAACAATACCGACCTAGACTTCTCCTCTCGTTCTGGCTCTAGACAACCCTCCAAGAGCCCCGAAAGGAATAATCGACGACACACCTTCTCCCCACAGTCCTTTGAAGCGTTCAACTCCGCTCAGATGGCACGATCAGCCTCCGGAACCCCGGCAGGCCGGCATTTGAGGAAGGGAACAGCGATACCCTACCAAGCACACCAGCCCAGGCGGTCGCTCACCTCTCTCAACCATCCCCAGTCACACTCCAACCCGCAAACGCCGTTTTTTGGCGCCCGAAGGCCTTCGTTCTCTTCCGAAGCCTCGCCTTTGCACCATGCACCCATGGTAGGATCTTACGAGGAGTCAATATTAAGGGGAAGAATGTCTACGACACCATCGCGACCCTTGGATTTCATCGCCAAGATTGGTGTTCTGGGGAGGGGCCAATGCAAGGCAAATTTGAAGTGCCCTCCCCATGTGACAGTACCGTTCCCAGCTGTATTCTACAGCTACAACTCCGGAAATGGCCGCATATCGGATGATTCACCGAGCCCATACGTAGGGCTCATAGATCTTGAAAACTCCCTACCTCCACCAGAGGAAAGCAGTGAGAGTAGCAAGCGGAAACGTCGACAGACGGTACCAAACCCAGATCAGGACGTCTTTGACTTCCGACAAGACAACGGCGAAGCGGACCACAGGTACAGATCCAAAGAGGACATTCGACGGAGGGAGAAAAAGAAGAGGCGGTCCACATCGCCCAAAGCGCCTCCTGGTGGAAGCTACCGCATTCCACAGCAGGGCCAGCTCCAGATTGTCATCAAGAATCCGAACAAGACCGCCGTAAAACTCTTTCTAGTTCCGTACGATCTCTCCGACATGGAACATGGCCAGAAGACGTTCATTCGTCAGCGCAGCTACTCTGCCGGTCCCATCATCGACATGCCTCTCTCATCGCGGAAGAACTTGGGCACGGATCGTCCGGAAGCCGCCCTCAGCCATTCCGACGACCCGAGCGACCGACCCATCCTGCGCTACCTCATACATCTGCACATGTGCTGTCCATCGAAAGGCAGATATTACCTTTACAAGAGCATCCGTGTCGTCTTCGCGAATCGCGTGCCAGACGGTAAAGAGAAACTTCGAAACGAGATACAGCTTCCAGAACCACGGTACAGCACATACAGGCCGACGCGAGATTCGCTCGCTGTACCGTCCTCCGCAGCGGCAGCGCAGCTCACAGCAGACAAGGCCCTCCGCCGTCGCAGCGCAGGGATCTCGCTATCGCACCAAGCCTACAATCCTAGCCCGCGACCACATCCACCGCTCCCGCCTCCAGCTGTTGAATTCACGGGTGGGCCCGCTCACCACAGCGACTTCAGCTCTCCCATGTCCACGCTCGAGCCAATTCCTTTCAGCTTGACTCACTTCCCTCTGATACCCTCCCGACCTTTGTCTCGCGATGCTATGGACGTCGATGAGGGCAGCCCTTTCACGTCCCGCGCAGCGCCCGACTCGCCGATCGCGGAGAGCTCTGGAAGCGGAGTTTCGACTTTCGAGAAGCTGAATAGAGGCGATGTCGGTTACGGTGGCAACGCATTCAGCCCGCCCACGTCGCCCAAAGCAGGACTACTGGCGAGACGTCTGCGAGGACTCGATGTCCTGCCCGGAGGAGATCCGACCCCCAAATCCACTTCGTAGCCGTTCATGTTCTTTGTATGTATTTGTTGTTTGGGTTACATGTATATTTTGGCGATGGATTGGATGGTAATACCCCCGGCGTTCTGCATAGACATGCGGGAAAGCACCGCATGCAGGCGAGTGGAATGTATTCGGGTCTGATAGACTTCAATGCTATGCAATCGACATATGTTCTCGTACTCATCAAACTCCGGGAGACTTGTGCCAACCCCAGTCTTACCCCATGGTCCACATAAGGGTCCAAATGCTGGCCACTCTCAAGAGTAATCGAATCGGAAGAGGCTCCTTTATGCTTGCTTATTTCTGCAATTTTTCCAACACAACCATGCCCAATTCTGAGCCCTTCCAAAGCTTCGCAGCTGATAGCTGAACCGGCCACGAGTCCCCTCAACACGGCGGATCCGACTTGGATAACTTGAAGATAGGCGATTTAGACCCCAATGGTGATTTGGACATAGAGAAGTCACGACCGAACGTCGAGGGAGCGTGCAACATGCCGTCATGGGCCAAGGTTCATCGCAGAAGATGCTCGAAAGGTGGCAAGCAGCCCTCATCTACATTACGAATCAAGTTGGAATCGGGATCGCCAGCTTGCCTGTGGCCATGTAGACTTTGGGTCTGATTTCTGGGCCGATTGCATCTATCGGCATGGGCATCCTCGTCACGTATACTGCGTACGATCTGGGGCAGTTCTACCTAAAATACCCCGCCATGCTCAATTGCGTCCACTGCTTCTTCATCATGGGGGGAAATACCTCGCGGTTTTCGATGGAGCGTCGTTCGTCACTAATTTGATTCTGACATGCACTTCCACGGCCTTGACAATGTCGATTGCGTTGAACAGCATGTCACGAAGGTAGCTTGGTATCGACGTGTAAGTGTCGCAGCAGTGAGTCGGGATTTAGCATGGTCGAGCGGTGTTTGGTTTTCGTTTGCGCACACACCAATCTGGACTATTATGTTCTTTTATCCTGGGAGTGTACCATGGAACATATGTAGGTAGATATTGTACCAAGACCTCTCGCCCTACCCCGCGCTACTCCGCTGGGGTTGTAGTAGGATTCGTCCAGTGATAGACTAGCGTGGAACGCCCAATTCCGTTCTTGGTCAAGTTTACGGCCTCTCGCGCTTCGCTCACCCTCCACCTCCACTCCCCAAACCTCACCGCCCCGCGAGTCCCGCGAGTCCCGCGAGCTCCGACAGTAGGGTCAACACTAAGAGGAAAAGCGTGATAGCGCACGAAACATCCATTTCGCACGGCAGCAACGCCAGTACTAAGCGAGCAGTGTGATAGCGCACGTCGCGCACAGTCGAGATGTCGGGCGGGCTTCGTAAATTCCATACGAAGACGAGGAACGGTTGCTCGCAGTGCAAAAAGCGCCGGTATTTGCCCAACCTTCTCGTTCTCCTTCACTGTGTCTTTGAAGCCCCTGCTAATTGCATTGCGTTTTAGGAAAAAGGTATGAGACATCTCACATCATCGAAAGATGCATACCATATAGAAGACTGGTGCGGCGCGGCAGCTAGTGTCGCCACGCCAATCTGCGTAGACGTGACGAGAAGATCCTGGCACCAAAACGGCTAACTTACTTGATGCAGTGTGATATGCGAATGCCACGTTGTGGGAACTGCTTGAAAAAAGGGACAACCTGCGACTTCACGGCGTGGTGCGCATCCGTGATCCCGGTATATGAAAAGGCGTTCGCCCAGTTCGTCCCCACGGCTCCCCACTCCCCATATGTGACACTGATTGGTGCTCTAGGGCCTTCCCCGCTGATGGACTGCTTCCATGCCCACCGCCCTTGCCGACATTTGAGGCACAGGACGTGGAGCTGCTGCGGCACTACGCAACGCAATCGTCTCTGACCCTGGCTCCCAGAGACACGCTCTCGGTATTCCAAGTCAATGTACCGGGCGAGGCCAAGTCCCATCTCTATTTGATGCACAGCGTCCTGGCTTTCTCCGCGCTGCATCTTTCATTCGTCGATATTCGAAACCGTGGTCGTTTAAGCCACCTGGCCAGCAAGCAGCATGAACAGGCCTTGGCTGCCTTTCGCGACTCTGTGCAAGAAGTCACCCAGGACAACGGCAGTGCCATCACTGCGTTCTCCTACCTCACCGTCGTGTACACCCTCGGCCTCCCAATTGTCTACGGCTTTGCGAGCGTACCGAGCCCATCATCCAGCTTCGTTGAAGTACTCCAGGTGCTAAGAAGGGCATGGTCTGCCATCAACCCCGCCGCCAATGGGGTCGAGCGCGGGAAGCTCTGGGAGTTGATCAAACCAGCACCTCATCAACGTAAATCATGCGTGATGCATGACAAAGCAGCTAAAGTCGTCCGCTTCCTCAACTACTTCCTGGACACTTCGCCAATCTGTGAGCAAGAGAACCAATCCATATACCGAGAAGCCCTGGCTCACTGGGAATACTTCGTCATGAACGCACCCTGCAAGCCACCGCTCTGGGCACACGCACTAGTATGGCCGATGACAGTCCCCTACCCTTTTTTCGAGCTCATGCTCGAAAAGAAGCCTTACGCTATGGTCCTCTTCGCCGTGTGGATCATAGCTCTTTACAGAGCGCCGAACATGTGGTTCAACGCGTGGGCAAAGGAAGTCGTCATGGATGTCTGGAACACCGCGGATGACGAGACGAGGAAGGCGCTCATGTGGCCGGCCGAGGTTTGCGGTATCATCCCCAAAAAGGACCATCCCAGCGACTGCGTGTGCTGGGACTGTCGCGAGGGAACCCAGTATACTAAGGTGCGAGATGCTGCGGCGGCGGTTTTGGTGGACCGGACGAAGAAGGCAGAGTACGGAATTGCTACTCCTCCGTCGCCGGCGTGGTCTACTTCTAGTTGGTTGTGAGATGGGGGTTACGGGAGAAGCTAGGATGGGATACCGGATCACAGACCGACAAACGACCGCCTCGGCACTCACCTCTTTGACTCCTTTGCACGATATGTTCGAAATTGGGCACGACACACGCCTCTTGGGAAAGAAAACTGAGATCCACCAGTCTCCATTAGATGGTAGACAGGAAAACCCGATCGTTAACGCCAAGTCAGCGGGACCAGGCCAGCACACGAGATGCGCGCCCCTCCAGTCCCGTGCTCGAGCGTCGATTCCGTGGGACGACACTCGTTTCTACGCCTCTATTCACAGGCCCGATTCCTCTTCCCCCCAAACGAGAATTGGAAGCAAGAATCGGGTTTCCTTACTTGCTTCAAGATCTGTGGTCAGAGATCCTTGGGCGTTGGGCGCTGATCCTTCTTACTTCACACCGTGTTTCTACCCAAGGTCAAACAAATGAACGATCGTTACATAAGTCTGAAGACAGTCCTCTTTAAGAAAGAACAATGTGCATTCGTTCTCAATACTTCCGTTCTTCCCAATAACCACCTCATCTACCCCTAAACTCCTCACACTCTGACCGAACAGCAAAGCTTAACCCGCAAAACAAACAACACCATGGATACAATACAATGACAACGCCCATCTCCCCCCAGCTAAGCACAAGCATCTAACGAAAGCAAAACTCAACCTTTTGTAGACTTGGGGAAAGCCACTGCCAAGTGCCTCCCGGCCATCGGTGCAAGTAAAACGCTCCAAATGAATCCCGCAAAGATCTAAATGCCTTGAATAAGAAAAATATCCCTCTACCACCACACCACACCGTGACGCGAAAGAAGAAAAAAGAAGGAAGAGGTTTATAAACCTCTAAGCCTTCAATTCAACGCTCCTTACGCCTCTACCGTCCCCCTCGACTCCCCCTCCTACCCATGACAGGACTCCCCCCAAAACTCGGACTCCTCCCGCCTAACCCAGGCGTCCTCCCGACCTCCATCATGCGCACCCCCTCAAGTCCGACACCCAACTTTCCCTCAAAGATTCTCGCTACCACGCCCTGCACAGCCCTCTGCACGCCCCCCTCCAACTCCGTTCCAAGCAACCCCACCACCAACGGCGCAAAAACATCAACGTGTTTCTCAAACTCGCCCTTCGGGAACGCAAGGTAGTTGTTGAGGACAGTGACGACGACGGGCCGCCAAGTAACGATATTGCGCTGCTGCGTCTCGTCGTCGAGATCAATGTACGACGCGATGATGTCCTCGCAAAGTGGTATAAGCGCTGTTTCTGTGTCGTCGCGGGAGGCGGCGCGGTCGGTAGATGTGTCGTGGTACATGCGAAAGAGGATGGAGACGTATACGGAGGCGGAGCCAGATTCTTGCTTCAGCAAGTTTGGGGGCTGCTTCATGAAGCCCTCGCGGAAGAGGCGGGTGCGGAGGTCGCGGTCTGCATTGAAGCGCTTGGCGAAATGGTAGCTCTTCTTCAGCACGGCCATCAGGCGGAGGAGTTCTCCCGAGGGAATCTTCTCGTATACGGCGTCGTTTGTGAAGAGTTCCTGCACGGTTTCAATCATGAGGAGCTGGAGGACGCATTTTGTGATAATTTGGTTGAAGAAGCGGCGACGGGCGGCCGTTACGACGACGGGTGGTTGCTGGAGATTGGAGTCTTCGGGTCGATAATCTTCGAGCTCTTGGGTCTGGCGTTTGGGGAGGGGCGAGGGCATGCGCTGCTGGTCAATGGTAGCGGATGAGTCCGACGTCACGAGGGAAGGCCGTCGTGGTTCCGAGAGGCCATTGATGCCGAGGGCATTGTCGGATGGCGTCTCCTCCGCTGGAGTTTGTAAGGACAGTTCCTTGGGAGGCGTGGCTGTGGTCGGAGTCTTACTATCCGACGTGTCGTTGAAGCCGTTGGGGGTCTGCGACTGTGAAGGCGTCCCGGTTGTGGCAGCGGAGAACAGTGCTGTGGCTTCTGTTCGTTGGAACAGATCAACGAATGCCCTGACGATCTGGTTCCAGTGCCGAGGCGTGAACTTTTGCACATTCTGAAGAATGAGCTGCTGCAGGCAATTGCTGCCAATCCTCGCGAGGGTGTCGTTCTCCTGGCAAATGCAAAGAGCAAGTAGATCGAGGAAACGATCCAACATGTATTCTAGAGACTCGAAGAAGTGAGTAAAGAGCTTGATCATGTTGCGCAAAGCCTGAATCATGGTCGTCGACAGCCAGACGGACGTCTCTTCGTGATTGAGCACCTTTGACATCTCCGACTTCGACTTGAGCACCATGAAGATGGGGTAGAGTAGCTGGCGCCAGAGCATATCCCAAAAGTCGTGAGGGAAGTCGCGACCGTAGGCAATCAAGGTTTCAAACAGATAGCTTAGAGCTCTTGATCGAACTTCCAGGTCTTCCCCCGTCATCAGAACATCATGGAACGCAAAGAGAACAGGAAACCAAAACTGCTCCTCTTGTGTCTGCCGGCTTGGCTGCTTCGGTATTGACGATCCCTTGTCGGATTCCTTCACGAATCCTGCTCGTTCGGATAACGAGCATTCCGGGGTCCGTAGCATCTTCGGTACGGATGACTTGAGGAGCTCAATGGCTTGGAGCGACTTCTTCTGGAATTTGTAGTTCTTTGAGAACTGTGTGAGGCAGACGATGAGATCGGCAAATGCAGCCTGAGAGATCACAACACCAAAGCGCGTGTTGTAAACCTGCGAGACATTCTCAAACGCGAGGTTGACGATGCCCTCTACTCTGATGTGAGCTGCCGCATGCAATCGTGAGATGCTGGGAACTTACCATATGGCTCCTTTGCAGCTACAGTGAAGACCCCAAACATGGTCTTCCATCCTGATCTGATATTCTCTCCACGCGCTTGGATCATCTGAATGAGGCAGCGGAGCACCATGTCCTTGACAGAGACATGGGTGGTGTTGCTGATGATGTGCTCAAATGGCTTCAGGAAGTCTTTTTGAAACTTGAAGCCCGGAAGCTCTTCAATCTCCATGAACTTCATCGAAAGCTGTCGCAGCGAGTTGAGAGCAAAGTAGACGACATTCGTATTGGCGTGGCATCCTACTTCCACAAAATGGGCACCCAGTATT